AGACTTTCTCTCTGTCTCCTGAGCTGCAGATCCCATTAGCTTGCATTCTACACAATAATTAATTAAATTAAATTTGTAAATTATTACATACCTTGTGACTTTTTGTGTGGTTTTGCCTTTTTAGGAGCTGCAGCCATAACTAGAGCTTACAGTTCCTAAAAAACAAAGTTGCTATCATTACATATCAAGCCATAAAGCCAGCAAAAACAAGCCATATCGGAAGTGTCTATGACACCCAAATTATCACTGCTTCACTTAGATGGCTAGACAGTTCCCATTTTTTTATAAGTATATCCCTGTAATATTCAAACACCCCTCTATCTAAAAACAATATGAGGAATCATCCTTGCTATAGCTACATGGAGATACAATCATGACAAGACACCAAGCCATGCTGCCACAAACACCCACTAAAATTAACACCGTAGTAAATACAAAGCTATCCACTTGGCACTTATCTATAGTGACTTACAACAAAGTATAGACCCTCTCAAAGTGTCCTAAGCAACTGGCCAGAGTACTCACACCTTTTGGGTAGAGAAGGGCGGAGTTTTAAATTAACCCTCATGAAACTGTGCCCAACTTTTTCAAACTATTGGAATTTTCTACTTAACAGATGATTTATTTTTAAAAATTCTTGCAGATTTATAATCAGGATAAAAAGTACAACACATTGATATAAGTAAGTTTTTGTTTTGCTGAACTTCATTTTTCACGTTGCGGACCCTAAGGAAGTCTATTGTCTTATTTGCAGAAAGAGAAATCTCATCTTATAGTGGGAGCAATCAGTGAAGAAAGCACAGTACTAAATGTTAGGAAACAGTTGCTCTCTGTGTGTCTTCAAGTTGCTAATGGAATGAATTACTTAGCTTTGCAAAAGTTTATTCATTGTGATCTTGCTGCTCGAAATTGCTTGTAAGTATAACAACCAATAGAAATGCATTACCTACTAGTAATTGATCCAACTTTAGCATAGTTGTGACTAAATTATGATCATAGGATTGCTGATAATGGTGTCATCAAAGTTGCTGATTTTGGCCTATCGGAAGAAATTTACACAAAAAATTACTTTAATCAATTTAAAGAGTCAAAATCTGTTAAACTCCCAGTCAAATGGATGGCACTTGAAAGTCTTCACTATGGAACATTCTCTGAAAAATCAGATGTGGTCAGTTTTAAATATTATTAGATCTAGTATGGTTCAATTCTCACACACACAGTGGTCTTATGGTGTTTTATGTTGGGAAGTCTTTAGTGCTGGGAAAATACCATACCCTGGTATGGATCCAATAGGATTAGTGGAACTATTGGATAGTGGGCAAAGATTAAG